TGCACCACCAGCGTGGGCCTCTAGCCTTATCAGCTGGGGTGCCATGAGAAAATTACTTGAAATCATAGTTTTGAATATATAATCAACCAGAATCAATACCAGACTGAAAATCCAGATTGATGACTAGAAATCACTCAGGCACCAAGTTTATAGAAGTGTAAATTGTTAATTTAGTATAGCATTTATGTATTGAGATAGGGAACGCTGGAAAATAGAAGATTTGGAAGTAAATCATTTGTTTGATATGAAGTATATTATGATTAAAATTTTACTAAAATATCCAGATACAGAAGAAATACGGAACTGTGGAAGAGGACTTTAGACAATTAAGTCTGGGCATTTCCTGCTGTAGACAGATGCAGAGTGGGTCATTAACGTATAGAGAGAAACTAGATGTCCTTGTCATGAACAAGATGAACAATTTAGGGGAAAGTGAAGAGGAACCCCCATTCCCTAAAAATCCTGACTCTAAAACTGGTACTAAAGAAACCTCCGTTTTGAACATAAACAACAAACTCAGCAAATAAGTTTGATGTGTAACTTACACACACTGTAAGAGAAGATGTGTCTCCTTCAAATTTCAAAATATTTGAGCCCTAGGACTCATGCTTCAGTGTCATAAATTATGTTGAAATTTTTTCAGTTTATGAAAACATCCTCCCCCCATCATCATAGGCACACACAATCCACTTGGGGTGTCTTACCTGAGGCCCCTACATGTGCTGATGCTAGCATCAGAAACTTTCTCATTAATGATATGCCCTTGGTAGTAACAATCATCCTAAAAAACAAAAGGGAAAAGGGAATTTTCAAAGGAAAGTGTGCATGCCCAAATTTTAAGCTGAATTCTCAAAAAGAAAATACAGTGCCTTTAAACTACTTTATAAAACAAAATCAGAAATGTAAAATATTTTAAAGCTTTTAATTCTTAAAACTTTTAAGATTCATTTAATGATCCCAAAATACTTATAGAGTGTCAACTCAATATTGGTATAAATGTTGAAGTTGCATAACAGGGTAATGAACCTGGCCTGGAAGAAACAAATTTTGAGATTCCCCCAGATCATTTGTAAGCTTAAAACCTGAGCCCCCCCCAAATCATATGTAAATTATTCTTGCCCTTGATTGTTCTTTTATTTTTTCTATCTATGAGCTCTGTCCATGGATGACTTACTCAGATTGTGGTTTAATTTCTTGATTTATCTGAGGAGTACCCAACATTCCCTACCTCCATCTGAAGCAAACTCCCTATCCTAACACCTTTGTCTTCAGATGTACTTCATTCTACTTGGTTCAGATGAAATTTTGGCCCATAGAAATGTTTGTATAAAAGAGAATGTTCAAAGTGCTTTCAGGAAAAAAAAAAAAAAACAACTCAGAAAGATGACAGTGATGATCTATCTTGCTCTGTTTTATACCTGCTCTAAATAAAATTCAAGTGTAGAAATTTTGGAAAAAAGAAAAAAACCTAGAAATTGACAAATTCTACCACTGAGAATATGGTCTTGAGTTTGAGAGA